GTGGTGGTGGTGGTGGTGGTGGTGGTGGTGGTGGTGGTGGTGGTGGTAGTAGTAGTAGTAGTAGTAGTAGTAGTACAGTAGTAGTAGTAGTAGCAGCAGCAGCAGCAGTAGTAGTAGTAGTACTAGTAGTAGTAGTAGTACTACTACTAGTAGTAGTAGTAGTAGCAAAAGTAGTGGTAGCAGCTGCTGCTGCTGGCAGCAGCAGCAGTAGTAGTAGTAGTAGTAGTAGTAGTAGTAGCGGTAGTAGCGGTAGTAGCGGTAGTAGTAGTAGTAGTAGCAGCAGCAGCAGCAGCAGTAGTAGTAGTAGTGGTAGTAGAGTTGGTAGTAGTAGTAGTAGCAGTAGTAGTAGTAGTAGAAAAAGTAGTGGTGGCAGTAGTAGTAGTAGTAGTAGCAGCAGGAGTAGTAGTAGTAGTAGCGGTTAGTAGTAGTAGTCGTCGTCGTCGTAGTCGTAGTCGTAGTAGTAGTAGAAGTAGAAGTAGTAGTAGTAGAAGTACTACTACTACTACTGCTATATTAATATTCGTACTAGTAGTAGTAGAGGAGGAGTAGTAGTAGAATGTAGTAGTAGTAGTAGCAGCAGCAGCAGCAGTAGCCATAGTCGTAGTCGTAGTGGTAGTGGTGGAACGATGGGGCCAGCCGGCCGGGTGACGCCGGGGTTTTAGGGCGGGCGGCCGGCTGGCCGGCCTGTTGACGCCGTGGTTTTTGGCCCGCCGGCCGGCCGGCCGGCTGGCGCTGTGGTTTTTGGCCGGCCGGCCGGTTGAGGCTGTGGTTTGTGGCCGGCCGGCCGGCCGGCCGGCTGTGTGTGTGCCTGCATTGTAGCCATTATGGGCAATAAGGATCACCAGTGTTAACTTTCCTATTCTAGACTACTTTGCAACAGCGAAGCGCGGGTACCCGCCATTCGCTGGCAAAAAGGAGTGAACGACAAAGTAGAATCCAGTGTTCCGCATCCTCACTTCAAGCATCTACTGTATTGGCCTTTAGTAGCTTCGCACACCCCTTCACATTATGGTGCCCTGGAAAGAAACACGCATGAAGCATACACCTCTTCAATAACAGGAGCAGCGCGAACCTCGGTGCAAGAAAGCTCCAAGGCAGCGCGCCCAGCGCCAAACATGCGATTATGATGCGCCGCCACATGATTGGAAGAGCTTTGAGACAAACATGCAGCGTGGCCAATGTGCCCTTGACAATCCAATCCTAAGCACTGTATTCCAAATATTTGATGCTGGCTTCTTATTCATACATGTTTCAAAATACTTCCCTGCTTCACTTCCGCCGGAACCTATCTGGTTCTGCACCTCATTCTGTTTTTTTCCTCTGTTCTAGGTTCACTAATTTTGAAGGGTTCTCGGTCAGAGCAGCAAATATGGTCTATTGGATAAATGTATCGTACTTTATCACAGCATACTAACTTGGTTGCAAACCTCAAAAGTATCACTCTCGTGTACTTCAGTCTTGAGTCGATTTCTGCAGCGTCGCACATGTCAAGCATTTTCTGGTGCAACTTGGTGTGTGCATATGTCGGAGTGGAGTGTATTTTCGCGGAAAGAGTGACCCAATACATTGGACCTTTTTGGCAATCTCTCATCTACTGAAGGTGAAAAAAGAAGCAGTTTGAATGAGACAACAGAGAAGTGCACAGCTGCAAAGACCTCTGTTGTCTTGTTTTGGTCTTGAGTCTTGACCGAGATACCTTTGCAATTACATGTGATTGCAGCCAACTGCAAGAGACCTGAAACGGGGTGATAACCTTTGATGCCGCAAACTTCTCAGCTGAAATGCGTGATTGTGTTGGGCGCAACAGCACGAAAGCGATGACACATTAGAGAGCCTGCAGTGAGAACCGCACCCAAACGAAAAGCTGCACAAAATCCACCGCCGCAGTAGATTAGTGGCCTCAAGGAGTCGAAAGAGTTCAAAGCTTGCACTTGTTCCTAATGGCTTCTTGTTACTACTAGTAAGGCACTTGTTACTACTAGCGTGGCACTTGTTACTACTAGCGATGCACTTGTTTCTAGTAGCTTCTTGTCGCCTCTGAAACCTCTGAGATTGCTGACTCTTCCACCAAAAGGTCCTTCGCCTCTGCAGAACTCGACAGCCCTGCCCAGTTGCACATCATGGCAGTCACAGCATGTCTACCCAACTGCTGACCCTTCGCCTTCTGCGACAAGCTGAACGACATGTTGAGCTACATGGAGTCTGTTAGAATAACCAAGGATTCCAACAAAACATTAATTCTGCTAAAACTGACAATGTGCCAGAGAAAAGCATTGACACTTGCCCTTGGATACCTGCTCCGGCAGAAACCAACGCCGTCACTCTTCGTCGGCCTGAATATGCTGGATCAAAAAGCTCCCTGGGTCAATAAGCTGATTTACTCAATTCACTCTCCACCCAACTTTCCGACGAAACTCTTTTAAGTCTCTTTCTCATGCGCTCGGAACTTTATTTGAAATGCAATGTCAGCTGGCAGCATAGGAAGCTCGACTGCCTTGACATTGAAAGACCCATAAGTCTTGGCACTAAGAGATCAGTACAGCAGTACCGCAGCTAACCGGCATTGTACTGTTTCTGCTAGTTCTGCGATCTTGCCGTCCCCACTGCGCCTAATCGCACTTGATGTTGAGCCTGCAATCTCTCAATAATAAACGTCTTGTTTGGAACAGATTGTGGGGATTCTAGGAACTCTTGCGAGAAGGCTTCCGAACACTGGCATTTTACCTCGTCGCCAGCCTCTGGAGATGCAGGAGCCAACCACGTGCCTCAAAACCAAGCAAGGGAGGGAGGGAGGGAGGGAGGGAGGGAGGACAACAAAGAAAACATAAGAAGAAGAAAGAATTTCCCGAGCATCCTCAGCCGCCCAATGCTGCTGCCTTCTTGCTTCCAATCTTGTAGAAACGTGTAGAACCAAAACGGCAACAGCATTGGATTCAAAGGAGAAAACAGAAAAGCACTGCAACCATCTAAACTCTGATCTAGCTCTGGGCATCTTGGCGAGTTGTGAAAGCGGTAATGACAGATAGGATGAGACATGGCAGCAGGCGCATGTTGCACAACTGTCACATCTGTCAAACTAAGTCTACCCTTTGCTTCTGGTACCATGCGAATGCGAGGAGGTTATTATCCTTTGGTGCAATCTCGTTCTCTGATCACTCCAGTTTGCATTGTTGTTTTAGTTGCACTTCTTCCTGCTGAAGCCAGGCCGCGCATAGTTTGTTCTATGAGTTCTACGTTATATCCAGTATGTTTGGGGCTTCCGCTGCGTAAGAATTGAAACTGAAGAGTGCTTACAGGCTCTTGACTTTCTCATTGTGTAGCCCCTGGAGCCACCAAGGCATCAATCCCATCAGGTCGAGAAAGGCGCTGCAACAATGGGAGTATTAGGTTAGAGGCCATCGCTAGTAGGTTGGAGAGCCATCGCTACTAGGTTGGAGGCCATTGCTATATAGCAGGTTGGAGGCCAACTAGAAGCAAATAGACTCAGAGTTCAGAGGCCAAGGAGCTCATGGACCTTTTTGTGCCCCTCCCGCGACTCGGCTGGCCCTTTACGGAGCCGAGGTTCCTTAGTGCGCGATCAGATTGCTACCAAAGCCTATCAACTCAAGAAAATTGCGCAATGCCTTAATCAAGTTGATGATGATTGAAGAATCTACCAAAACAAGGTGTCGTTTGGTGGCAATCAGAACCAAAGGTTTAGACAAAGGTAGTGAATCAAATGATCTGTTTGTTGCGGTTGGCTGCACGAAACAAAACTCACCAAACATTGATTTTGAGCTAGCTATTGCACGGGGTGAAAGCCTTAAAAGCGGTCCTTTTTTTTTGGAATGTCTCCCTTGTTGTGTTTTTCCTCTTAGGGCGTGAAAAGAGGTGGGCGGGGTGTAATAACCTGTATCCACGAAAGCAAGGTTCTAGTAACAAGGACGCAGGAGATCTCAGAGCCCGGCTCCGTTGAATAATCATAATCAAGGCCAAAAGAGGACTTGCAAAAGTCTGCCCAAGGAAGTTCTTTGCAACGACCCCAATTAGGAAGCGGAAGCGGATCACTTCCGTGTACCTGCTACTACTTTGTGACGCGGCTTTGTGACTACACGGTGCCTGACCCCTATTGCGCCACAGCACAAAATGAGCATTGTCTCTGGCAAAATGCTAATGGTGCTGTATTGCTGTGCGCATTTACAAAGATGTGCTTGGAAATTCTACGTTCTGGAAAATCCAAACACTACTTTTTTGGGATACCAAGTGCGGTCATCTTTTTCATCTTCTCCTTCAGCCAGTCCGCTTTGCGCTTTTGCAAAGTTCATTCGACAATTTTTTTGGTATGGGTGTGCACTTAGAACCGAACCTTAACATCCCACCTCACCCCACCCCACCCCACCCCACGCAAAGTCAATCGAACACTGTCGCGAAGCGTAGAAGAAAATCTGATGTATGGGTGGGCACTTAGAACCGAACGTCGACATCTCAACCCATCCCACCCCACCCCACTCCATTCGAAGCCAAAAACATAGTGTCGCGTAGCGTAGGCGTAGAAGGGCATTAATGTATGGGTGTGTACTGAGACAGCATGCAAGAAGAACTGTGAAAATATAAAAACTTGTCATACCGATACTTCACTACATGCGAGCACACACACACACATATATATATATATACCTGAGAAGGGAGGGGACGAACGCCAGCCTCCGTAACATTCTTGTTATGGGGTGAAGTCCACATTGCACTGACCTCTTCTGCTGTCAGGGACGGAGAAATAGAAGGCAGAGAGGCACGAAGTCTCGCATTGACGGTCGATATGATAGGCTCTTCATATACAAGGCCTTGGTCAAGGCCCATTCACTGTTTGTGATTGTAGGATAGAAGTGGAGCCCACGCGTGCGGACAAAGGTTGAACTGGGCAGGACATTTACAGTTCGTGGGGTGTTCAAGGCCGTTTTTGCATCGAAAAAGGGCACCTAAGTAACTGAGGCGAGGGGCGTTTACCTGTATTCTGTTTGTCTTGTACCTGGACTCACAAACCTGTGAGTATATGTAGTTGTAAAGATGAAGCCTGGAAATGTCCTGCTGAGTTGTGAGCCGCTGTTTCTATGAGTGTTTTTAGCTTAGAGGTCTCGCCGCTTCTCTGCGGTGGAACAGGAAGTTGGCGCTCATAAGAGTGGACCGATGAAAGTTTAGTGGCTGTATAACATCGAGCATTTGCAGCATAGTTCCCATCCGTTTTTTATGAGCGCGGTCTTGTTGTCATAGGGTGAAGTTGCATTTGCAACTGCTGGTACTCTTCTCAGCCACAGGAAAGCAGAAGGCTGAGAGACGCAGAGTTTCGCATTGAGGCTCGATATGATGGAGCCGATATACACAACGCCTGGATCAACTCCCACCCGCCATTACCAGTCATAGGAAAGACTTTGATCCATACAATCCGACCCCCTTGGACATGTATAGCTCGGAGGGGCGCCCTTCTTCATCCTGTTAACCCTTTTCACAAACGAGGGCGCACCCAAGCAACTGAGAGGTCCCTGCCTGCATTCTATTTCCTCTCCAGGAGATCCCACTCAAGACGCAGTTGTAAAGATGACGCCCGCAAATCCGCCCGCACCGAAGGTGCCGAAGCGTTTTTATAGGGCACGCGCTATACGTAAGCTAGCATATGCAAGCCAATAGCTTTAGCTAGGGGGGTGACCATTTTCGCTCTAGAATCCTGTGTTTTTCACGTTTTCCGAACCTGCTTAACATGCTGGAAGATGAATTCGCGCTATTTTGAAGCCCCTGGTGACGCAAGAAATGCCATTTTCCTCCCTTGCATGATTCGAATCATCTGCGCGGTAAAGTGTAATTGGACTGAGGCCGGACATTTGGCTGAACAGGCTCCCCTAATGTGGCTCAACATAGCTTCCATATTGCCTAACATAGCCCTAGAAGTCACTATCTAACGGACGTGTCTGCGAGATAGGGACTTGAACGCAAAACATTGCCCAACGAGGGCTCAAAAGGGACTGGAATAAAGTAAAGAGATTGCCTAACATAGCCCTAGAAGTCACTATCTAAAGGACGTGTCTGCGAGATAGCGACTTGAACGTCGTAAACATCGCCCAACGAGGGCTCAAAAGGGACTGGAATAAAGCCCCCCCCCAAACGTGACCGAACATAGCTTCCATATTGCCTAACATAGCTTTAGAAGTCACTATCTAAAGAACGTGTCCGCGAGATAGGGACTTGAATGTCCGGATATTTGGCTCCACAGGAGCAGAGATAAGCAGAGATCAGGTTCAGGAACGGTCTCTTCCACTACAATGCAGTTCCACTACAATGAATGTATCTTTTTCTCTTTGCCTTACCCTCTACCTCAGCTGTTGAGCCCAACTGCATCACTCGCTGCATCGATATCGCTGGTCTTCTGCTTCTACACTACTCGCATTCTGCAAAACCCACCTCGACTGCTTCAAAACATCACTACTGCACAAGTTACTGCCTGCAACAATCAAAAGCAAAACATCTTCGCTCCTAGACTGCCTTGCTTCGGTCCATTCCACACCTGCATCACAAAGACGCAGCTGCCCACAGGTCCCCCGATTTCGTGCAATGTTTCACGTATCCAACCGAAAAAATCCCTGCGTTTCAAAATAAGCACCACTTCCTGCGTCACCCTACCGCCTACAGACCATTGACCCGATCTGCAACGTCATCCCCTGCCTTGATGAGACCCATGCCCGAGACTGTTTGAAAAAGCACTGTGACTAAAACGAACTCTACACTTCAATACCCGTGTTTCGTGTCCGGCTTCTGCCATATTGCATGTATTCAAACGTGTTATCGTCTGCTCTGTTCGTTTCATACTGCATTCCTTGGCTCCAAGAGCACAAGAACCCGTTCCCGATCGTGACACATCCGGCAGTGGCCCTTCAGCAGCCACGATTGCTTGAAAAAGCACGCTACACGAACGTTTCAAAATAAGGACCATTTCCTGTGTCACCCTACCGCCTACAGACCATTGACCCAATCTGCAGCGTCAGCCCCTGCCTTGATGAGACCCATACCAAAATGGCTGCAGTCTTTGAGCCCAAGATTGTTTGAAAAGGCACTGTGACTAAAACGAACCCTGCCATGATCAACCATCCCACGCTGTTTCCATTGCATGTATTCTAACATGATATCGTCTGCCATGTTCGTTTCATACTGCATTCCTTGGCTCCAAGAGCACAAGAACCCATTCCCGATCGTGATACGTCCGGCAGTGGTGGCGGCCCTTCAACAGCCACGATTGCTTGAAAAGGCACGCTGACTACCGAATACAGAACATTAACCCGATCTGCAGCGTCATCCCCTGCCCTGATGAGACCCATTCCAACATGGCTGCAGTCTTTGAGCACAAGATTGCTTGAAGAAGCACTGTGACTAAAACGAACTCTACAACCTACACCTGTTTCGTATCCAGCTTCTACCAAGATCAACCGATCAACCTTACACTATCCAACGCTGTTTCCATTGCATGTGTCCGAACATGTTATAATCTGCTATATTCCTTTCATACTGACTCCCTTGGCTCCAAGAGCACAAGTACCCGTTCCAGATCGTGTCACTTCCGGAATCTCTAACCACTTACCCGACCCGCAAAATGGCTGCAGTCTTTTAACCCCACAACCACGATTACTTGAAAAAACACTCTGACTCCAACGAACTCTACCAACGGCGCCTGTTCCGTGACCATAGTGACTTCTAGGGCTATGTTAGGCAATCTTGAATTTATTCCAGTCCATTTTGAGCCCTCGTTCAAGTCCCTATCTCGAGGAAGCATGCTTGAGATAGTGACTTCTGGGGCTATGTTCGACCATATGCAAGCTATGCTCGTGAGAAAATCTTACCGTTCCTGGAAAAAGCTATGTTTGCGTTAGGGGGGGGTCTTTGTTCCAGCCCCTTTTGAGCCCTCGTTGGGCTATGTTTACGACGTTCACGTCCCTATCTCGCAGACACGTCCTTTAGATAGTGACTTTTAGAGCTATGTTAGGCAATATCTTTACTTTATTCCAGTCCCTTTTGAGCCCTTGTTAGAAAATGTTACCGTTCCTTATCTCTGCTCCTGTTGA